ACTGTCGACAAAACTTCCGTCGACAAAGAGCGTCCAGACACATTGAGTTCTGTCGACAAAGCAAGCTGCTTTGTCGACAGAACTCCGTAGTCTGGACGCAATGTTACAGGCAATAACACCTTCTGTCGACAGAGTTCTGTCGACAGAAGGTGTTATGCCTCGTAAAATGAGGTATACCAGCATCGACAAAACTGCTGAGTTCTGTCGACGTTATGTCGACAGAACTCAGCGGTAGTGTAGATGCTGGTATAGTTTTGTCGACAAAAGTCCACTTTTGTCGACAAAACTAGGTATTCTAGACACACCCAAACTGGTTTGTTACTAGAACACAAAAACACAAACATTTTTATGGGGAGGAAAAATAAGTCACGTAGGCTTTTCAAACAATTAATAAAAAAAAGATTTCTGAGCCCCTACCAACCTTAAAAATGTTCCCTTACCAGGTTAACCATCTGTCCTACTTTTCAAAGTGCTGACACAAAGTAACCAAGTCAAATGAAAGGAAAAATCAATTTGTATGTAATGTGGTCAAAAGAGCTGCTTATACAGCTCTAACAGTCTTTTTACTTGTCTGCACCACCGGAGTTTAAGCAAGCATGTACGTCACACAGTTTATTAAAGTTAATATTTCATAAACAATTGGCACAATTACTCATTTAAAAAAAAATCCAAATTGCACACAGCATATCAGCCACTCTTCTTTCAAAATCTTTTAACTGAGCGATATTGAACTTTCTAGCAAACTAATATCTTATGTATAATGGTCACATGCTGCAAATATCACCCAGTTTCTTTATACAGTAAACACTATCAAGTGACAGCTTTACAATTAGCTCTGCTATGGAGAAGGTTAGAGCTGGAAGTAACCTCCAGAGATCATGGAGTTCAGCCCTATGCACAGAGAGGATCAAGAAAATCATTCTAGACAATGCCTGAAAGGTGTTTGTCCAACTTCTTCTTAAAAACCTCAAGTGAAAAGAAGTCCACGACCTCCTGTGGAAGCCTAGTCCAGCACTTAACTACCTTTAAGAAAACATTTGTAATTTTAATCTCTAACTTGAATCTCCCTTGCCACAGATTAAGACCACTACTTCTGGCTCTACCGTCAGTGGATAACAACAGATCGCAATCCTCTTTATAATACATTTAAAGACTTTCACATCCTCCCTCAGTTTTCTTTTCTCAAGATGAAAGATGCTCAGTTTTTTAACATTTTCTCATGGGCCAAGTTTTTCAAACCTTTTATCATTTTTGTTGATTTCCCTACATCTCTCCTAAAGTGTGGCACCCAGAATTGGACACAGTATTCCAGGTGAGTCCTTACCAGTGCCAAGAACAGCATGCCAGATACTTCCTGTGTCTTACATGTGACTCTCCCAAAAACACACCACAGAATATTCATCTCCCTCACAACTGCATCATATTTTGATTCATAGTCAATTTCTGATTTTCTATAATCCCAAGATACTTTTCAGCAGCACTACCTACCGCCAGCCAGCTATTCCCCCATTATGCAATGTGCATTTGATATTTCCTAAGGCCTTGTCTACACTAGAAAATTAAGTTGGTTTGACTAGCTAGGCCAGTGGTGTGAAAAATCCACAACACTGAACAGCATAGTTAAGCTGACCTAACCTCCCATGTAGACAGCACTGGATCAATGGAAGAATTCTTCACATAGCTAATCCACTTCCCCGAGAGGCAATAGCAAAGTTATGTCGATGGGAGAACGCCTCCTGTTGGCATAAGAAGTGTCTACACAGAAGTGATGTAATTGTGCCACTAAAGCATTTTAAGTGTAGACCAGCCCTTGGTGTAGTACTTTGCACTTGCTCTTACTGAATTTCACTGGGTGGATTTCAGACCAATTCTCTAATTTATCAAGGTCACATGGAATTTTAATCCCATAGCATGTAATCAGCATTTCCTATCCTAATATCAAACTCCCAGAGGAAGAACATAGCAATTGAACAGGATGAGATAGCCTTTTATATCCCTGCTTGTAAACTAACCAGTTAATCAGTAAGCATTGTCCTTACCTGCTAACTGGTTAACTGGCAGCCCAGCCCAGCCAAAGCAGTCCCACACAGAGCCAGTCTGGAGGAGCTGCTTGTCAGCTGCAGGATCCCAGTCCTCCGTAGTTAACCAGTTAAACATACTGTTTAAACATATTGTTTAACTGGTTTACTTTTTAAATGGGGATTTACATCCTACTCTCACGCAGCTCCCCTCAGTCAAAATCAGCCATTTGTTTCATTGTTGAATGACTTTCAGTTTCAATTTATGGTAAGATGCAACAGCTTTCTTAAGTGAAGAGCAGCAGCTTGTCCTTTGAACAGCAATTTAATTTTTTTATCCACCACAGGTTTTTGGTTTTCCTTGGCCTCTGGACACCAGGGCAATGTCGACACTGCCCCTTCTTGCGCAAGAAAAACCCTCTTGCGCAATGCCGCTACACTGATTATTTTCAGGAATAAGGGCATTGCGCAAGAGGGTTTTTCTTGCACAAGAAGGGGCAGTGTAGATGCTCCTTCTGGCGCAAGAGCCTCTTCTGCAAAAATGGCGGCTCATTAGGTATGCAAATGAGGCTCAGTGATATTACATGCTTGGCCTCATTTGCATATTTCTCACAGTAGAAGCCATGAGTGTAGACATAGCTTAGGGCTATGTCTAGGCTGGCATGATTTTTCGCAAATGCTTTTAACGGAAAAGTTTTCCATTAAAAGCATTTGTGGAAAAGAGCATCTAGATTGGCACGGATGCTTTTCCGCAAAAACACTTTTTGCAGAAAAGAGTCCGTGCTAATCTAGACGCGGTTTTGCGCAAGAAAGCTCTGATCGCCATTTTCGCGATCAGGGATTTTTTGTGCAAAACAATACCACGTTGTCTACACTGGCCCTCTTGCGCAAAAGCATTTGCGCAAGAGGGCTTTTGCCTGAACGGGAGCAGCACAGCAATTCCGCAAGAAGCACTGATTTCAGACAGTAGGAAGTCAGTGTTCTTGCGGAAGTGGCCAGTGTAGACAGCTGGCAAGTTTTTCTGCAAAAGCAGTTGCTTTTGCGGAAAAACTTGCCAGTCTAGACGCAGCCTAGGGGTATATCTACATTGCAATTAAGATGGGGTTCTTTAACAATGGTGTAGATATTTAGACTCTTGCTGTTGCCTGGGTTCATAGGTGACTGGTACCTGCAAGGAGTGGGGTTGCAGAGAGTGCCACATAGAGAAACAAGTGGGGAGCACCAGGAGGCACCCCATTTAGCAATTAAGATGTTTGCAGGAGATACGGAGGGGTGGCGCACCTCCCAAGTACTATAAATCAGGGGCAGGATTCCCGGACTCCAGCCCAAACTTGAACTTATTCTTTGCAATTAAACAACCCATAACATGAGCACCACAAGCCCAAGTCAGTGACACAGACCAGCTGCAGGTGTTTAGCTGCAGTGTACACATACCCTAGGTTTCTTCCAACCCTACCTGACATAATAAAATATCAATGCACAGTCTTCCTCCTTTCATTTTAAAACAACTCACCAAGCATGCCCAAGGTGTGCATGATCGTATACTGTTGGCCCACAGCTATACCTGTGAACAAAGTGAAGATCTAGTGAAGAACAAATAATTAGGTAATCAAAAGCTGTTTGCCATATTACCTGCTGATATGAACTACTAAAATCAGATACATTAACCAAACATCCCACAATATGCTGATTAGCTGGGCAGCCTGGATCCCTTTGCAATCCGTGTAAAAGAAGTAAAACACTGACAGAAACACCCCCCCCCCCACACACACACACACACAACCATCCCAGCATGATTTGAGGGGGCCGCAGAGTGGACCCTGAACATATTTACTGTACAGGTTAACATGTTTTGCATTGGGCTGGCCACTGATTAATGCTATTTAAATCGCTACCAGGTCGCCACTCCTGCCTTGGCCAGTATTAGGGGTTCTTTGCTTCTGCTCAGGCTGTTGTAGGTCTGGATCCCGGTATCCCGGCCTGTGGGTTTGATCCACCTCCCCGCGGCTCCAGAGCAGCAGCAGCGCGCCGGGGAGGCCCGGCTCAGCCCA